GAAGATTAACAGCTCGATTGGGAATTCACATGGTCCAGAGGAAACTTGCTCCGGAAAATCATGAACAACTTGTTCTCTAATGAAAGACAGTGTAGAAGTATGTGAAGGCCAGTTAACTATATCAAAGACTTCAACATCAGTAAGTCAACACTCGTTACACTAATTGATGAAAAAAGTAATATTCATCTCATGCTACAATTAGATTCTAAGACGCCAACAAAAAACTATCTCGGCACTAGCTTAGTGAGTACTGATAGTAGTGGCAAAGATTCATCATTTGCCTCACAAGTCCACAATTTGAAGAAGTAGTTGTAATCTTAGAAACAACATCTAATTTCGACAACTTCTTCCCCAGTCATAAGGTAATATATGAGAAACTATAAATATTACATTACGTTACTCAATTCATATAAAAATTTGAGAGAATTCAATGAGTCAAGGATGCATAAAATTTTGAGTTGGCCTTTGTTAAGTGTTGAATGGTGACTTTACCTTTATTCAAAGTATGATGATTGATCTACAACTTATTAGGTATTTGATAAACCTATTAAGGTTAGGATCAAATACATGCAAATTATTTCTAATGGTTGTCTTTGCATTTGAATATGCAAGTCAATGCTGGGGTTCCTCTAGGTCCTATACAATAAACCTAGATTAAAGAAAAGTTATTCAAGAACATTGAAGTTGTATTATTATTTACTTTTCCATTTGTCACTGTATTTCTTTGTGATTATCTTCCTATACAATCAACTGTGCTATGGCCTTTATGGTATACAGCTTGTTTGTGTGCGGTTCTTGCTGACAGTTCTTTAGTGGACGTTATCTTGGTAGAAGTTGAGTAGTTAGATCCTATAGTTTGAATTTCAGCCATTGATTTCATCCTTCAAATGACAATGGGCTGCCACTTGTTTACGGCGGATTAACTTCGGTGTGGCCAACTCCTTTAGTCATCCTATCTACTGTGGTTTGCTTTAGATGCTTTGCTACCCAATTGCTATGTTGAGTTAGGGATAGAGCAAATACGGTTTTGGTTTTGCAAGATTCATGATATGCGACTTATAATTTATTTGTAATTCCTTTAAGGCAAATTAAGATTTCTTTAAGCCAAGTTAAGAATTGCTTGTTGGTTGTTTGTGAGAATTTTTTTTTTGCCAAACACGGTAACAAATCTTGCATTAAAAAAGCAACTGTTCAAAGTTCAGAAATCTAGAGCAACTGCTCCTACATCTTCTTTGACTAAAGTAACTAGCCAAACTGGGAAGGAAGACCTTCACTCAATCTCATCTGTTATGGTAATGGCAAATTTTGTGAGAATTACTTTCTGATTTTTTGAGGTGTATCAACTTCATTATTTGTAAATTTAAGGCAAATGGAAAATTACCTTTTGGTTCTTTGTAAGAGTTGCACTTGGTTTTCTTGGGAATTACTTTATGGTACTTTTTAAGAGTTGCCTTTTTTTTGTATGTGTGTGTATGAGATTGTGTCGCTGGATTTGCTTTGTAGTTGTTTTTAAGAATTGCTCTCTGGTTATTGTTGTTGGTATAGAGATTTTGTTGATTCCTTGTCATTCTATCCTATGATGATTGTTTTGTGGTTGAGTTTGATATAGGGATAATGATTCTATACTTTGCATGTGAAGTACAAAATTAAGACCATCTATTTGATGTATGTCCTCTTTGAAGTGTTAAGATTAAGATATGTGCTTGGTCTTCAATCTCCCATGATTATTTGGAGTTAAAAAAAAAGTAGTTAGCATGTTCTAATTGATTGTGAGGAGTTAAGATATTTTAGTCGGACAAAATTGAGCACTTTGAAACTGATCTAAGTAGATCAATACATATTGCTATCTTTGTAATTCTTAGTGCTTACGATTTTGTTTTTAGCTCTTGCTCAGCCTTTAACTGCTTATGATTATTTAGAAAAAAAAAAAAACCTTAGCTAGCATTATTGTGTGATTGCCGATTGATTATGAGAAGTCAAGATATTCTAGTTGGATAAAGTTGTGCACTTTGAAATTATGCTAAGTGGATCAATACATATTGCTATCTCTCTAATATTTTTGCTTATTATGTTATATTTAGCTATTGCTCGACATCTATGGGTTGATGTAGAAAGTATGCCACCTTAGAGAAATTATATGCCGCGAGAAACCATAAATGGCCTAACATTGGGTTGCGTCTAGGATTAACAATAAGTAGGATACATGTTTAGATTTATGTACAATAGTTGTAGCAACTTTCGATATTGAGAAATCCATCACTGCCAAAAGGAGGATCTTGTGGCAATAAAATTACTAGTGTTTTGGCTCTTCAAACCAATCATTAATGGGGATAATCAGAGCTAACATTGCTGAGACAATAATTAAGGAAGAATTTGGTACTAGAGGCACAACTTACGAGAAGGCCAAACTAAGGCCCCGTTTGGGGTTGCAATACTTTTGGTAAAAATGTACTTTTAAGTGCTAAAAATACTTTTAAAGTGTTTGGTAAATATCATCCCATAAAATTAGGAGTAGAGTTTTTGGTGTTAAAAGCACTTTTAGCAAAAACTCAAATTTAGTGCTTTTAAAGTAACTTTTTGTGATTTAAAAAAATCAAATTTAATAATTTTATCCTATATTATGAACGAAATAAGGAGATAAATACTTTTAAAAATTTTCAAATTACATATCATCCAATACAATAAGTACTTATTGAATTATGTCTCCAAATAACATATTTAAAAGTACTTAAGCAGTTAATAAGTACTTTTATTAAAAACTCTACTAGAGAAGTACTTTTTACTATTGTGATTGAAGCCTCAAAAAAATTTTAGTTTAATTTTTCTAACTTTTTCATATTTTCAATACCTTTCCTTACTATCTTACTCATTTAGTGTTTTTCACATAGGTAATTTTCATTAGTAAAAATTGGTTGAAATTGCTTTTCATTGTATAATTTTTAGTTCAACATAATTCACCTCTTCCTCTCTCTCTCTTTGGTTATTTTTGGATCTTACAATTGTTAAGAATGGTTGAATTTCTGTTATTTGTCTTAAATCTATTTAAAAGTAGAAACTTTGAGGATTATATTTATTTTAGTTGAAACATTAGAAATTAGTTTGGCACACAGGTCAAATATTAAGAATCAAAACTGCATTTCTCCCGTAAAGAAAATCTATTTTGTGTTTAAAATTTTGCAACATAATGGCTTCACACATTCAAGAAGAAAAATACGCTATTAAACAATTCGACAATCAACACGTAAATATAGAAATCTAAACCATATAAAAGAACAAGACATATAGAACTCCCAAGATTCAAATGGAAACAAAATATATCCTACCATAGAATTTGACAAGCAATCAAAAGTAGTTTGTATATGAAACTTTTAAGTCTAATTATTAAACTCAACCCGAAATTAGATCCAGATAGGGTTGGATGATTCAATGTTGTACAATAGTTATATAATATAATAACATACTCGCAATCAATGAGCACTTCGGATCCATAAGGAATATTCTATTCGTACAACATAATCTTTGACTACTATTCTTGGAATCACCTACGTAGTGGATTGATGAATTAACTTGATTAAAAGAGTTTAGTTATCTAAAATGTCACTTTCAATAGTAATTCACAATCTAAATAGAGGATTTTTATTAATATCAAAACAGGTTTTGTCCTATAGATGCTAATTGTAAACAATCATTAAAAAAGGTTTTAAACCACATTAATAAGTGAATTTGGACATGAAATGATGATGACTTAGATGGGTTACTTAATTAAACCCATTTAATTGGTGAACAATAGTTTGACTCACATTATTCATTTATACCCATTTAAAAATAATTACACGTTTAAGCTTAATTTTTTAGTAAATGTTGAGTAGATCAATCCAATAACAATAAAATGTTGTTAATTCTTATCAAAAACATCCGCAAAAAAACTATAAAAAAAATAAATTGAATTTCAAATGAGTCATAAATGGGTAATTGAATTTTTCCATACCATATATTAAATAAGTAATAAATAGGTTGATCTACTGTTGACCTATTTATTATTAATTAAATGAGTACAAACGAATAGACCCAATTATGCCCTAAATCAGTTCAGATCTGACCAATCTAACTAAATCATCCATTTCGGAGGCTTAGAGAAACAAGTAAAGTCGTGATTTAGAAGTTCAAACCAAATTGCCGTGCCAAGCGGGGAAATGCTACGAATGTGAGGGGACAGTATCATGGTTATGTCTACCGGCCACACGTATCAACGTCCATTGACTTTATGACACCTGCCCATTCTTGAAGTGAAATGTGCAACAAAACTTCAACATCTTGTACTATCAATTACTCTAATAGAATAAATTATCAATTTATCTATCAATTACTATCAATTACTCTATCAACAAAACTATCAATTACTCTAATAGGTTGCTCGAAGATCTAAGTTTATTTGCCGAATTCTTAAGTGTTCTCAAGAAAATGAGAGAAAAAAATTACTCTAATAGAATAAAATCAATGAATTTCAAAAGGCGTCGTTGAAAGAAAATACTTTAACACTCATATATATTGAATTTCTTTGTTAAAATATCCTTATTCACTTATGAGTACTAAAGTCTTTTTATAAAAAATTAAATAGCAAATCGATTGAAAAATATTTTAAAAATTTATAATGAGAGAGACATATTAGTTGGTATAATTGAATGTTTAGAATCAAATCACCAATTAATGATTGTAAATGGGCAAACACAAGTGGAGGCGGAAACTTAGTAGCCGCCACCCCCAAGTTCAAAGAAATATTATTTTAACCCCTCAAAAGTTCTAAAATTTCAAGAAAATTCTTTTCAAAACAAACAATTTGCTCGCACAAAACTATAGAAAATTTAATGTTCAATCTCCTAAATTATACTCCACTGGCAAAATTGCTTTGAGTGTAGCTATCTCGTCTTTGATACTGTGGACAATTTCTTATGTTGAAATGGTGAAATAAAGAAAACCAACCTTGAGAACGCAGACGCTCAAAACATGCAATTTAGCTATATATTGATAGGCGAAATCTCAGAACTACACTAAGTTAAGTTGCTTGGTGCAAAATGGTGAAATTGATCGATGACTCAGAGGAGATTGCATCAACTCGGTCCAATCTGAGTCGTCCATTAAATTTTTTTTAAAATTTTAAAAAATTTGAATTGATGGCTCAGATCGTACTGAACCATTACGTTCTATCCAAACCTTCAACCTATTAGTACGGTTCCGCCGGCAACCGCACGACCACCGGACCGACCTAGCAATACCCTAGCCTCATGTGTGAGTCTCCTCTCATCCTAAACGTCTTCGTTTCAAAGCCAAAATGAATTGAATTTGAATTCTTAAACCATTGCAAACCTGGTTCTGGAAAATTGGGGAGCTGTAGAAGGACAAGAAGAGATGTAGCAATCCAGCATGAACCATAACTGGCTCTTCACCTTCTCCATGACGGTGCAAGGAGGAAAACAGCCCATTAGCAGAGCTTTCAATCGGCACCAAATTGCTGCAACTGGGATCCAACCCTGCAAGCATTTGGATCCCTGAAAAGGCTATGTAGGTCACATGCCCCATCTGCTTTGTGCCATAACTTTGCGGAGCTTCGGCGTTGGCTTGACCGCAGAGCTTCCATGACTCCTCGAGCAACGGTGTTGAAGCCAGCAGTGTTGCTAACATCTCACTGCACTCGAACCTGCCAAGGGATTGTTAGTTTAAAAGGGGGGCAAGGAAAATAAGTAAAAGTTGATTTCATGGAAATTTTGTAGAAATTTCAGTGACAAGTCTCGTTTTGGTTTATTGGTATTGGTTTGCTTTACTTACGATGAAGCTTCGGCCTCCATTGATTTTTCTTCCACCTTTAAGACTTTTCCGTGGATATTTGGAGAAAGACAATGGAATACGAAAGTGAACCTTGGAAGGAAATGTTGGAATGCGTCAAAGTGTCACAGGATTAGTGGATCCTTTCGCTTTTTAAATGGGGAAATTATCAACATTGGTTAAAATTGCGTCGGTCCCATAATCACTTTGGAGTTTGGCCTACAAAGTGAAGTTATTTTGTAAGGATAGATCTCAGGTGTTTGTTCTTTATTAGAAAGGTAAAATCAATTCGAGAAAGTATTAAGGGGCTTTTGAGGATAAACTAGTTTTTTCAGCCTCACGCGATGCGTGAGGATGCACTGGGTCTATGTTAATCAATATCAAATGAAGGCAAGTAGATTAATGTAAAATGTTTATATATTAATACATGATAATTGTTAAATAAATGTGGAGAGTTTGACTTTATGTAAATTGAATATTGCTGTTACTCATTTACTCGTTTGATTTGTAATTTTCTCTTAGATAGTCAGTCAATACCTTAAAATCTTTGCGAATTCTTGATACTATAAAAATAATGCATTCATTTGAAATGTACAATTACATACAAATATCATAAATATGGTGACGCTGATCACTTTTAAAATTATGCACACACTATTTGTATCTAGTCAAGAATGAAATAAGTTTAAACAAGTAAAACCCTTCTTGAAACTTATTGTGAATAAACACAATGGTGATATCAATAATTGAAAAGAACAATCATCACATTTCTACACGCAATAAAAAATGTCAAGAAATTAAGAATTATTCATGATGTAGTAAAAAATATGCTTCTAGTAATTGTAGTAAAAAATATCATATTGACAGGTGTAGTTTCTTGTAGTAATCTTTCCAATAAAACGTGTCTTCCCAAACTTCTTGCACTCATTGCAACAATTTTTGGGGGTAGTACGTAGATCATCGTCATCATTTTTCTTCTTTGCATCTCTTTTTTTGTGCAGAGACCATTAATCAATGACGATGAACTTTTCCTTCTTTTCTTTTGTCAAGCATTCTTTGAAGTAGAACAAATTATAGTAATCTTGAGACATGCAACATGTAGTATATTTTACCTTATAACCTTAATAGCTAATTGGACCTTAACTACCATTTGAATCCCGTGAGGATGCCTGGATTTCCGCTTGAATTTGCTACGAAATATGTAGGGTCCGTTTGGATTAGCTGTTTTTGGGGTTGTTTTCAAAAACAATACTGTAGCATTTCATTTTTGAAATACAAGTCCGTTTGGATTAGTTGTTTTTGGGTTGTTTTTCAAAAACTATATGAAAAATTTTTATTGTAAATATTTTTTGGATTTTTTTTGAGGTATTTTTAAAACATATTTTTGAGTATTTTATAATTTATAATTTATATATTTTATATTTACATACATTTATGCATTTATAATATATTTATAAATATTCATAAATAAATGTATTTATATATTTATATAAAAATATATCAATATATTATAAATGTATTACATTATACATAATACATAATATAAATATATTTATAAATGTATAAATGTATATTATTATAAATGTATAAATTATAAATGAATATTATATAAATGTAAAAATTATATATTTATATTTTTATATAAATATATATTTATGTATTTATAATACATTTATAAATATTTATAAATAAATATATTTATAAATATTTATAAATAAATATATTTATAAATATTTAAAATAAATATATTTATATAGATACTCCTCCTATGTGTTTCAAGTATTGACGAGACATTGTGGTTGCTAGAAGGAGAGTACATAATATTGTATATTTCAATTTGTAATATTTATTGTATATTTCATTATTATATAAATATTTATATAATATATAAATATATAATATAAAATTTGCAATTTGTATAATATACATAATATTGTATATATATAATATAATATACATATAATATATTATACATAATATACATTTATACATTATTACATATTATGTATATTTTATATCATAGATAACATTATTATACATTATTATACACAATAATGTACATAATCATGAAAGTACATTAATAATGTATATATTATAATATAATGTACATAATATATTATGTATAAATATTTATACATTTATGTATACAATATTACATATTATGTATATTATATTATGCATATTATATTATATTATGTATAATATTAATGTATATAAATATTTATATAATATATAATATATATAACATATAAATATATAATTTTCAATTTGTATATTTCAATTTATATTAATATAATATATATAATATAAATAATTAAATATACATATTAAATTTGTATATTTGGTGTTGTTTTTGATATAATGTTTGGATATGGGTGTTTTTGGAATTGTTTTTGAAATACACATTAACTGTAGCATTTGGAATGTGAAAAAGTTTTTCAAAAATAGCTGCAAAATAAGAAATCCAAACGAACCCAGTATTTGATTGGACTTGTTGCCAATTTCTGATACATTTGTGGGAATGCATTAGTAGGAGAATTACTTAGGAAGTACTAAACAATAGCTAGGAACAACCTGGAGAAATATATCATACTCAGATTCACTGCAATGTATTATCCCTATTTTCACAAATGCAAAGCAATAGTATCCCTGCATCTACAGCCAAGCCATTGATCAACAATTGGACGTGTTTTTCAAAGGTCAATGGTTTACAAATATTTGGTGCAATATATAAACCACTAATCAACAATTACAAAGATGTCAATGAAAGCTTTTGTTTTGGAATTGCATATGCAATACTTCTCTAACCTTTATAAGTCAACAAATTAACAGATACAGACCCAGTTAAGGGGCGCTGTTAATGCCATAGTCCATTTTTCAATTTCACAGCCATTTTTATACAAAATGTCAAAATTACCCTTCTCAATTCCAAATGAAATTTGGACTTAGATTGGGTAGTTTTGTAATTGTACATAAACTGGTCGTGGAAACAAAATATAAGCTGTGGCATTATCATTTGTTCCAGTGACCTACTGTATTTGTTATAATAATAGAGATAATCTAGCAAGGAGCAAATTACAAACAGTCAAATTTTGGTTCAATTTAAGCATGTACATGGATGCCAAATCTATATGAATTTTAACGCAAATCTATATACCATTTTAGTTTTACGTTTTAGTTGAAGTCGTTTTGGGTTGTTTAGTAACGAAGTGCCATATTAGCAGTTAGTTAGTTAGCAGTAATCAAGAGGTTAGCAAAGAATTTGCCAGTTAATTATATTGAGTAGAGAAATTTCATTATGTTTAAAGCCTTGAGAATGATTTTTTAAAAAAAATTTTTCCAGTAGAAAATGGATGTGACTTAAGTAGTGAAGAGGAAGCAGATTATGAGTTCTCCCGGAACTGGAAGATCATTACCAGCGGATATGCTTTTTTTTTTTTCCCACAGGGGTCGAAAGCAGTTGAAGCACAGGAAAACAGAAGCAATCAGTCTTCAAAAAACTTTTGTGTAATAAAGCTTGCACTTCTTGTGCCCACGCGGACAGCATTGAAGTTCCAAAGCCATGCAGACAGCAGCAAAGCCACGCAGCATCGAAGTTCCAAAGCATGCAGACAGCTGCAAAGCCACGCGGACAGCATCAGCACAAACCCACCACCCACAACAAAAGTGTGACGACCCCACTCCCCCTAAGGCGTACCAAAGGGTTCGGCGGACCGCCTGCCCAGCTCTCGCCAGGACTCACTCACTATCTTAATCGAGTCACGTACACACATCCATGAACCATAAATAACATTCCCAATTCAAGCTTATAATTTACATTAATAGAAATCGAGGCACAAAGTCTCAACACACCCAACTAGTTCAATACGTATACAATCCAAGTACAACATGTTCCATTCGAGGAAAATAGCGCGAGTACAAGACCAAAAAGTCAAAAGTCAAAACAAAAGGCTACGCTAGTCTTTTACAAGTCTCACGCGTCACTCGTACCCCTGAAAGGAAAACAAATGGAGTGGAATGAGCTAAAAGCCCAGTGAGGTTCCAAATAGCAAATTGACCATTATTTAGAAGTACAAGTTTTCGGTATAGCAAAGTAACAAGCATGAAGAGTTCATAAAGGTGAGCAATAACACGTCAAGTAGCAATCTTAAAATGAACGAATGTAGAAAATTTTTCAAAAGAAACAATAATCCAATAAACAATAATTACTCCAAAGTATAAGGATACGGATGACTCTCAAGAGCCAAATTCCCATTACATTACCAGAAGCTTGATCCCGTAGTAGTTGACACTCCGTCAACTTTCAAGTAAGTAACCAATCCAGTAGAACACCACTTAAACGACTCTCCGTCCACCGTTCAACCCCCAGCTGGGCCCAAAATCCTCAAGAACATGGGTGGTAATACTCGAGTATACCGATTAGTCGAGGATATATCACTCCACTCGACAATACAAGAGACCCAGGGTTCGTTACCCAATCGACCAAGCCCTTGCCGGCTCGACTAGAGTAACTCGCCACAGGGTTTCTGGAATTCCAGGAAGTGCGCGCATCATAATCAAGTATATCAAGTCAATTGCAACAATAAACAAGTATATCACGTAAGGGCAAGTGCGATAAAGTACACTCTTGCCCTATCAATTCACGTATATAACATGTAATCAGATTGGTCACGTATCAAGTTCAAGTATCAAGTTCAATTCGGTATTTGAAAGCACTCACCAAAAGATATAGTGCCTTTACTGGTCACTTTCAGGTTATACTCCGGGTTCGGAGTCCAAATCTGCGATAAAACTCAGTTTGAGAACTTTGAAACATGACTAAGATTCAAAACTTAGACGTTTCGTTCAATAAAATCAAGAGATTGAAATTCACTCGGATAGTAGTCGTGAAACACTTGCTCGCTTTTTAAACTATAAAACTTTGTAACATTTATACTTGAAATTGTCTTGCGAGTCGAAAGTACAAGAGAAACATATTCCAAATAGTCATTATTTCATTTCTCAAGGGTACAAGCTCGGCCAAGTCCTTCCTTATATACCTCGGAACAAGAATACTCAAGTACCCTAGATGGTTCAAGCAGTAATCACTCTTAACCCTTACTCAAGTTGCAAGTAGTTCTCTAGTCTTCGAGCGTAAATTTGGGCAGCATGCCCTTTGTGTTTACCTAATTTTCCAGCCATTTAGGCTTCATTATTTTTCTCAACCACAACCCAACCTCACATATGTCAACAATTCAAGCCAAGAGCCGTTCCA